CGCCGCCATGCCACACGGATCCACCATCTTGATTGGGGGCAGGGCATGGGATAAGCGCATTGGGCGCCATCTTGAGTGCGGGCAAGGGCTCCAACGTGCACGTTGTGTTGCCACCCGCAGCGCGGGCCGGGGCCTGCGGGAGCGGCCCAGCCGCCGCCGCCATGTTGGCTACGGGCAGGGAAGCCGCGCACTCCTCTCCGTTGCCATCTCGAGTAAGGGAGAGCGGGCGGCTCGCCGAAATTAGGTTAATTATTTAGCACCTCCAGTCTGGGGACTTCTAATGGCGCTAGACAGCTCTTAGAAGTTTTATTTAAGATACAGGATAAAGTCTGTTTAATTGCAGCTAATGTCTTAAGGATAAAGATTACCCAGTGGGGGTGTGTGTGAGAGAGAGAGAGAGAGAACTTGTGAGGTAAGACATAACACTTACCTGCTCTGCTCAGGCATCAGGATAATATTTTTCCTAAATTACAGTCCTGGCACCGCTTGCTGACCAAAAAGGCTCTTTTTCCGGTCAGGTGGACCTCGGTGGTTAATTAGATAAGCTTGATTCACTCTTAATGTGTGTCATTGCCTGTAGGTCTTGCTCCTGCAGAGATTCAGGTAAAATCCACAGATTTCCTACCTGTGGGGATTTTCAAACCTCTAGAAGATTTCCTTTGCAGGTGCTGGGCCGGCTATACTGAATTTAAGCCTACTACAATGGACTTAGTTGTGTTAATGCTTTCTGTGGCTCCCTTAAAAATAACTGTCGAGCTTGTTCATGTGCCGTAAGAGGAAGGCCCCTAACAAAACCAAGGCAGAAGCGAATGTCCGTCTGGTCCCGGCTGTAGACGGTGCCGGTGCATTTGCTGTGTTCATGTGCAGGAACAGGCACACGAGGACCACGATCCTGATGGAGCCCGAGCAGATCTTGGGATCATCCTCCTGTCCACTGGGATTGCTGGTTCCTCTCTGCTAACATCATTCTGTAAAGCAGTTTGCTTCCATAGACGAAATGCTGTGTGTCTCTGTTTAAATATAGACAGTATTTGCTCACTGGGAATTCTACTAGCAATTACTCATTTTCTTTGCCTCTCTTGTCATAACCCTATCCGTTGACTGCAGCACAAGAATTAATTGTCCCAGTCCTCGCTACAAGTCCCTTGTGTAGCGTTGAATCAAATATCAAATGTCCAGTCCACATTGATCTTGGCTTCATTAGCTGCAACCCTGTTTTGAGAGTTTCTAGGCAACATAATACTGGTCTTACTGTAGAAAGGATCCTTCGTACCTTACCAGCACACCCACTTTTGACATTTTTGTGAAAACATTTGTACAGTTCTGCCAATCCGCCTCTATCGTCAGTGGTAAACAGTAAAGCACTAATATAGATCAGTGCCACTGATGGAAGCGCCTGAGCTGTAACACGGCCGTGTCAGTGGTACATATGTGAAGGTTGAGGAAAAGATTTTAAAAATACAGTGCAAATGAAATTCGGAGTCTTATCCTTGGGCAGCATTTCTGCTTAATGTCAGGTAACTTGGACAGGTACAGACATGCATTTTGTAGTCTCGTTTCTTTCTGAAGTGTACGCTAGACACATGAATATGGAAAAAAAAAAAAAGTTAAAAAGTCTTTTCTCCCAAACACGTATTACTGTGTTGGTTCCTATGGCCCGATGCCTTCTTTTCTCAGAGAGTGGGGCAATGCTCAGCTATTTTGGTGGCCAAGACCAGATATCAATATACTGCCTCACTCTTGTGAAATGCAAGAGCTTCCATCGAGCTTGGTCTTACCAGGAGCTGGTAACTCTTAATTTCCCGTATCTCTGGTTTATTGGGCTCCTGGGCCATTTGCCCCTTGTTCAAGCAGTGAAGTTTAAAATGGAGAAAAAGTATGTTCTTGCCTATTGCTACAGGCAACTCAAGGCCTCCTCTGAAACCAAAGTTATTTTACTAGGTACTGCATATGAAAGGCTCAGCTTCTGCCACAGATAAGAGATTTACAACTTAGATGAGGCAAAGAATGGGAAAATGATGGGATTGTGCGATCCACTTTAAAGTTGCTGAGCTGAGAGCCAGAGAGATAAAGTGATTTGATCAAAGCAGGGCAGGAATTTAACTCCCGCCTCGCAAGCCACAATGCATTTTCTTGAACTCTGCCTATTTTAAGCTGTATTTCCCATGGAGGTGTTTCACTTCATCTTCCCTTCAGAATAATCTGGTTTACACACTGTAAGAAATCCCTCCATAGTAGGGATGGTATGGAGACACTCCTTTTTTTTTTAATATGGGATATTTCAGTCCACTTGTAAAGAAGGGTACCCTGAACATGATGCAGACTTTGAAAAAATTCATTAATGCTAGATACTGATCAGATACTGATCGCCAGTAAGAACAATATCTGATTTCCTAGGGGCTATCGACATTAGATTATTGCATGTGCAGATATCCCAGCTGCTTTTCAGGTGTCTTTGGTAAAGCAAACAGAGGTGGATGCCATCAAAGAATTACTGCTTTTCAAAGACCTCTCCTGTGCAACCGTGGTCTAATTTAAAAGACTCTTCTAAGGTTTGTGCAAGCTCACTCAGATTTTCCATAGTTCTGGCAGAAATGCTGATTGTGCAACATTTTATCAGACACTTTCCTGTAATATTAACAGAACTTTTTAGGCAGCGTCTTTCAGCTACTATGGTAGCAAACTGGCTAATGATACGATTGGGTAATGCACAGTCTTTCTCTGGGCCAAACAGGAAAATGCATTTAAGAGCAAAGTAATACTTTATACAAAAAACCATCTGGGAGAAGGACCTGCTTCTGTATTATCTTTTTTTTTTGTTTTGAAAAAGAAACCCACATGAAAATGGCCATGTGGAAAAAAAAAAAAAAAGAGGAGGGAGAAGGGAAAAAATACAGATCAGCTTCTTTTGTACAATCCAGCAAAATGGCCCCACCCTCGCCTGGCTCCGGTTACTCCCTTTGCTCGAAAGGCCTTGGCAGGACACACCCAGGTTTTTCTCTTTTTAAGCCCTTCCTGCCTATGCTCTCTCTTTGAATTTAATTTACCATGCAGGGAAGAAAAACCCTCTGAACCCAGAAAGACCCTTTTCCTGCCTTTTTTCCTTTGTATTTTTAAAGCCGCTCTGAAGCCCGTACTACGTTCACAGGACACTCCTCCATGTAACTGTGTTCCTTTGCAAATCAGCACAGTTTTTTTTTCCTCTTCTCCTTCCTCTTCCACCCAATGTTTCTATCCGTGACTTGAAAATAAGAACCCTCCTAAAATACAGCCGCTGTTCAGGAGCCCAAACGACTGAGCGTAATGCCATATCCTAGGTACTGTTTTTAATGACAATTGTTTTCCTGCACGTTCCCTTCCTCCCCCCTTATTCCCAGTACCCTGCAAGGTCCTAAACCAGGAAACTCTTTTGCTTCTTTTTGTTGCTTTTACTTAAACCCCTTTCAATTGACATGGCTGTTTTGTTTAAAAGAGTATTTGCAGCTTTAGCAACATCTTAGGATGCCAGAACATTCTTTGTGCATCATTCATGATGCCACATCACAACTCTGGAAATGGTTAGCCTAGAGCTAGCGGAGAAGGAGCAAACTCACTGCTGCGTTTATCAGTCCAACAAAAAGACGCGCGTGGCTTCTGATCGGCCTCTTCACACGTGGCTCAAAACTAGGGAGAGCACAGGTATCTTCTCACTCCGCTCACACCTAAGGGAAGGGAAAGGAGCGGAACCAGAAGTCATAAGGCACACAGGCGGAAAGCTGGGATTATTGGAGGAAGAGGTGTGGGTACGCGGAGGATCACTGGAGAGCTGGTTATGTTAGTCCCAGCGCCTGGGAAAAGTTCCTTTCTTAACTGCAGATTTGTGGGTTTACGAGCAGTGTATATCATTAGCAAGGGGAGTAGTTTTTTCCACTGATCCTAAGAGTTTGGCAGCATAAAATATTATCAAAAATCGTACCAATCGGTAATTGATAAATAAATTGGCTTGGAATTGAGCTTAATATACTTTCAGCATTAAATAGAAGTAAATGTTTCTAACCAGCTTGCAAGTTCCCTAAACTGGATTTTTGACAGCTGTGCCACCACAGCAATTCGAGGCCTCCCTCCCAGGGACAAAGTTGAAAAGCTCTTTGCGGGCACGTATATTTGCCCTTGGAGCTGTTATTAGTGTTGCCATCGCACATCCCGATTTCACCTTCTAACAGGACTTGCCAAACTCTTATCTACAGGTATTTTTTGTGCTGCAAGTAGTTAGATCAACTTAAAATTTTAAGTGTAATCACAAGAGCTCACGTTTCTCATTTCTTTCTTTCTTTCTAATCTCTGACAAAATGAGAGACTTATCTGCGTGCCTTATTCTGTTATCAGTCCATGTTATTTCAGAACTTCCCTGCCTTCGCTGCTCCTCCCGGATGCTTTTGGGTGACTCATTTCCTGTGAAGGACGAACCAGCCATTTCCTGGCTATTCAACCCAGGACTTTTTTTTTTTTTTTTTTTTATTCCAGTCTGTGCTGGAGTGGTGTGGATCAATCTGTGGTTTGATTGAACCCCCTGCAATTTACATCAGAACTGCAACTCTTCACTGTCAGCATGTGTTGCTGAGGGGTGGTGGCTTGCCCCTGCTTACCTGGGCCACAGGCTCTGTGATTTTGGGGGGTGGAATTAAAATAATTACAGCGATACAGATTTAACAGTGCCATCCTTCCAGGCACTGTAACCCAATTCTTCTCTTAATTCAACCCATATCAGCTCACAGCAAATGGAATGCTAAAAAAAAAGCACCCAGAACTTGTGAATTATCTAATATTAAAGTGCTACCAAGATTGCATATTGGCATTTGAGAAATCCAGGTAATACCCACGCCGGTTGGTTGTGTCAGACACAGGTTACTGGAAGACTGGGTCCGTTTCTGTACTGATTCTGTGCCCATAATTCCAGCTCTTTCCTCCAACCTGTGTTTCCAATTTCCTGAGCCGCTATTTATTCATACTTCACATTATGACTCTAACTGTTGTGGACAGCTTGCTTCAACGCCGCTAAGTTAAAAGATTGTCTGGCCATTGTAATGCCAGCCTGAGGTATCCCAACTCCTTCGAGCAGCTTTTTACTGCTATTTTTAAAATTATTCTCTTAATTTTATTTCCCATCCTTTCACTTGAATATTTAGATTCATTAGCCTGTCATACATCTGTAATGTTTGGGAAGAAACCCCACACAATAGGGATACTGCCTCTCGAGTCTGAATGTAGCACATGTTGGAGGGATGATCACTGAATAATTCATACCCTTAATGATTTATTCATGCCCAGAAGCTGGATACCTCCTCTGCGACTTTCCATTATCGCAAAGAGAATGCAAGTTCCTATTCAGCCCCGCTCCTCTTCGGAGTGCCAGCAGCAGCCCTGTACTGGCACACGATGCAGGGTGTCTGCGGCGAATCGAGCAGGCGTGCATTAGGAACCACTCCCGTACGCTGCTTCTGAAACACTTTGGCTCAACAGCAACTGGGAAGCTCTTGCCATTCCCGTGCTGTATATATCATCCTTGACACGGAAGCTAAAATGTAGGCACGTTTTTTTTGCAAACTCTTTGGAAAGGAAGGTGGGCAAGCAAGCCCATTAAGCTCTTTTCCACCGGTACACATGTAAAGTGAGATGCTGCGGTCACGATGCAGGATGTTCTGAGCGTGGAAAACGGACAAGCAGGCCATGACTCCGTGATTTGATACCGTAGAGCTGATCTTACTGTCCGTGAGAAATTTCAGTGTTCTTTCCCATTGTAAAGTTACAGATTCTGAGACAATTGATATAAACATAGCGAGATTGTTTCCTACCCTCTCAGGAAGCCTTGCAGGAAAGCCCGGACAAATAGCAGCAGTTCAGACTAATCTCTTTCCTGTCTATGAGGGCTATCAAAAAATACGCTGCTGGTAAAAGTTTGTAAGACCACGACCTGACTCTCCTGACCTAGGTGAAGATTTTGCAAGACACTCAAATTCCATCTGTCCGGGAAGTATGAAGGATGATTCTGTGTTTCAGCAAAGGCTCCAGGCCCACAGGCAACACTACCCCTAGCCGGCCGCTATGAAGTTTCCTAATTGTTTATCCTGTAATCCTGACTTCTTTTGTCCTTGGAATAGGCTCTACATCAGCATAATTAAAAATGTCAAACATGCTTGAGAAACTCTCCAAGTTGCTAAAAATGAATGTGAATTTCCTCCCCACAGCCTGGCTTCATCTTTCCCTTACTCTGGCCTCAGCTTTACAAAGTGGTCTGTTTCCAGCCCTTCAGCATAGTTTGCATTCCACTGCCAAGAATGAACATTTATTTATACAAACAACCGTCCTTACAAGCACATCTCCCCGTGCTATCCTAGAGCAGGGAAATAAACACCATTTCTGTTCTCTTCTGTAGCTGCAGTTCTACTTTTTCTTTATTCAGAGGCATTTTTTGCAATGAAAGATTAGTGCAGTTCAGTCGCTTTCCCATGCTGCAAATCTGCTCAGAAACGGACTGGAATGCTCTTTCATTTCCTTACAATGATTTTATTTTATTACCCTCTAATGATGGTGCCGGTTTCCTGATAAACCACGCAGGGGGTCTTGATGGCTCAGCAAGCAGGTTTTCAGAGAGGTCTCGCTCAGGCTGCAACCTTGAGGGCTCTGTAACTCAGAACCGCAACGCCCCAGTGCCTGTTCCTCTCAAAAGCACACCAGTAACTGGGTTTTCCCAAGGCCATTATCGGGCTGCTGCGTTACACGAATCCTTCCAGCAGCGCAGGTGATGTTGTAGGAGAGATGGATGGTAAATGAAACAGCAGCTACCAGGTGAGCAGCGCCGAAGAGGCTAATGGGGACGGGAGCCTGAAGCTCATGCATTATTTCTAAAGCTTCTCCATCACTCACCTGCCAGGCCGAGGTATTGTTCGCTGAAATGCTAGCTCATCACCTGTGTCCTCTGCCGTCAGGTTGTCTCCCATTGCATCTGCCATTTAAATGGATGTTACACAGATGCTAGGTGACTCCAGACAGGGGAATTTCATAGTCTGAGCACAGTTCATTTAAATGAAAAAAGGGGCCCTGGAAGAGATAGATACACCCATGTGGATCGTGGAGCAGTGCTCCGATAGAGGGTACATCTGCAAGCTGCTCGCTCTCTACTGTCAGCAGTCGGATTTTGCTGTGTGCGAGCCAGCTTCCATTTCTCAGTTGATATAATTGTTTGTAGCTAAGAGTAATATTTAGATTTACAATGTTTACAATTACCTTCACCAGTGAATAAGATAAAGTGGTTTTGTTGGGAACTCTTCTTGCTTGCATTTCTAAAGCAACCTTCTAAGAAATGAAGCATTTAAGTAGTTTCCGAAGGATCCAGGGGAATACTTTTTTAAAAAATAACAGCAAGCTGGTATTTTGGAATATAGTCCCAACGCTATCTTTTTAGGAAGAAAACACAGGCAGCTGCTTTAACTGTATTGCCAAACCAAAGTCAATGAACTACTGCAAGTGAATGAGTTAGGAAATTTTAGTGACTACTCTCCCTGAATCATTACTGAATATTTTATTGCTCTTACTGCTTTCTTAGTAAGCTTACTGGTGCAAAGTTTGCAAAGATGTATTTTCTTTTGCCTCAGTACAAGGCATCGATCTTTTTCTTTACTGTGATGCACAGCGAAGGGCTGATGTCCTTTAAGAATATCCCTGTAGCGTGCCCGGGTACATACTCGGGTCTAAATAGACATTGCTCTGTTCAGGAAGAGGAGCATAATTATAATTAGGCCTTGCACTGATTAGCTCATGCAGTAGCATCACAACTAATGTATAGCAGGAGAGAAAAACCCCACACTGATTGTGCAGCTGGCACAAACCACTGCCTCCTCCTCACCAGGCTTCCATTCAGAGCAGGACCTACTCTAATCTTGCAGGTTGTAATACGCGTGCCCCGAGCTCACCAACATGTGTCCTTACTGGATCCTTCAGGTGGCATTTTAGTAGTTTTCATTAAATTGTATCAGCGAATGTACGAATTTCAGCAACTTTTGAAGAGATGTCCTGTTACCTAAAGGTACACGCGCACTCAGGGGCATACCTGAGTACGTATGTCCATACAGCACCATATTGGCCAGCTATATGCCTCTGCATTCAAGTATGCGCTTCAGTGCAGTAAATCCCCTGGAGATAAGGGAGAAGCAGACCCCAGAAAGGACATGACATAGCACAGGGACAGAAACGCGGAGACATACCAGCTCTATTTTGGAACTGGCACAATTGTGCTCCCTCTTCCCCTTCCCGCATACTTCTTTTTGATGTCATGCATGCAGTTTATAGGCGCTTCAGTAGCGCAGCTGAATTAAAGTCCTTGTTTCCACATGGATTCAAGAACAAATATGTCCAAATACATCTGAGAAAGTAAGAGGACTGACGCACCAAACCGCTGTGTGCCTGCCATGAGGCCCGCATTGTCATACAGGCTAATAAAGACATCGTTTTCCCAGGGCTTCGGCTCTATTAAACACAAAGCTCCAAATGATTTCCTACTTGGATCAAAGATGTGTTTGTTCCAGTGCCACTTAAGTTTAAAAGGCAATAGTGGGAATGAATGAAATCTCCCCAGTGGCAGCTGCTGAGGTTCAATTGGTCTGTCAGTGCCATAATTATGCAGCGGACGTCTTCTGTTTGCTGGCCCATATGTTCCTGAAGGACGTTATGCAATGGAAACAGCGCAGGGAAGCCTTGCTCCCACAGCTAAGGGTTTTTTGCTTTTGTGCTATGAAGTCTTGTTTGTGTTTCAGATGGTGGAAACGTTAAGAAATATTACGTTCTGATTTCAGACTTAAAAACAGAGTTGCTCTTATTTGATCAAACTCGATGGATGTGTATGAAAAGAAACAGCGGCCTACATCCAGTATCCTGGAACTGCTGTTTTTATACAGAGACTGACCACTTTTAAATATTATTTATATAGTTAAGGCTGGCCTCTGGAAGTGAGGGCTGCCCTCGGTAATGTAAGGAGCTGTCAGTGATCAGCGGCAGGGTTTGGTGCAACCCTTGGTGCCAAGAATAAACGTGGTTCCTTGTCCAGCCAGCCACCGCTGCGCAGCCCGGCCAGCTCTTCCCCACAGCACTTCTCATCGTTGTAGGTTAAGGTCTGGATGCTGATGAGAAATGTCTGCTCATTAAATAGCTATCTCCTTGTCTAGTAGATTGTACACCAAATTTTCTGTGTAACGGACATGAGTGTTTAGCAAGAACTCCAGAGTATTAAATTAAGCATTAAAAGAACGTTTAAGACATGAACCTGCAAAACGTGAAGTCAGGGAGAGTTGAGAGCACTCAAGATCTCAGTCACCAAAGGAACAAAAGAAACACAATATCCTTTACAGCGTTTAATATTTCATTTGGTAAGATGCTCAGATACTAGGGCAGCGAATGCAGAGGCCGATGACAGAGAGCACCGTGCGAGGGGTGCTTTATGTCGGCCACGGGGCCTTAGGGGTAGCCAAAACACGGAGGCACAAAAGGCTCCTTATTTGCAGAACTGTCAGTTTTACGCACAGCTACCTGGTCTGCACACACCCTGTGCATTTCCTAAACACCATTTAATTCGTGTGTGTTCTTGTTAGAAACACAGCATCAATGTTGTACAAAAGAGACTCCTAACGGCTGGGCTATCTAGAAAGGAAAGGACCAGTGGCACATCTTGGATGCTGGAGGTCTGTCGCTGGCTGGCTCCCTGCTCTCCATGTACTGCAAGCCCTTAAAGGATGATTTTCACGAACTGATACGGTCTTCTTACAGAGCTGAGTATAATTTAGAGGGGCACCTTCAGCTACATTTTCTTGCTTTAAAGTCCAGGCTTGAAGAAATATGTAAGTGATACTTCATTTATTGAGAAAATACTTGTGAGTTGACCAGTTACTTCTGCGACAACCAGAAGTCAGCTAGCAAGATTCTTCCCTCTTAAGCTTTGTCAGGAGGACTTAAGTACACATGTGGTCACCAAAGGAACAAAAAGGAACAAAAAGGATTTTGTGTAAACAGAGCAGTACGGCTGTGGCTGTGACCCAGTCCTCCAACAGCCAGGCCTGCGTTCCAAAGAGCTTGGCCGTGCGCAGGCAGCTATTTCGAGGTGCCCGTTCAGGCTTCAGGGAGCCAGCAGCCCAGGGGATTTTCTAAGAAGCATTCACTGATGCCTTGGTCGTGGGAGAGCGTCTGCTGGAAGGTCCAGTAAGAGGCAGCTGGGTTTGTGGTGCAGGCGTGGAGAAAGCTTCCAAAGTGAATTTTCAGAGGTGCCTTTTGTGCACTTGGGGCAATTTCAGCAGAGAACTCCAGATCCAAACCCACTGTTGGCTCAAGTTTTGCTCGAATCTGTAGAGTGGATGTAATTGTTTGCTCTTGCTCACACTTTGGAACGTGTGTTATCACTGCGGTAGGACAAGGGTTGGCAGCCTCTTACAGACACTATGCCAGGGCGTTCTTTTCTTTTCCAGAGTAGCAGCTAGGTGTGCCAATGCTGGGGTTTGCTGCCTCTCCAAGAGGCGAGATGCCATCCATCTGTGGTATTTTTCATCTGTGACGCGCTCAGCTCATGCTGAATGCAGCACTTGAAGTGGGAGCCAGAAGCTGGGAGCCACTGCCTCCTGATGCCTCTCCAGATACTGCTGATCCCATCCCAGCTCTGGCCTCAAGCATGCCATTCAGAGCCTATAAAAATTGAATGCAGACTCAGCGCTTGGGGCAGAGCCTTTTGCTTATTGCTTCCATCCCACACCAGGGATCTTCAGGTTGCTTTAAGGTCACTTTTCTAAATAACTAATGCCATCTCTCTCTCCCTTATTCCCTAGGCTTCCCTGTCCTCTAGGTGCCAGTGGGATTCTTGTCCTTCTGCAGACTGCTGTGCTCCACGGGAGGCTTCCCGAAACACCTTGCGTGACCTTGGAGGAGGTAAGGGAGAGAGTGGCACTTCAAAGCAAGGACAATAGTAGAAAATAAAATAGGAGCGTAGGCTCCAGAGGTGGGAAGCAAAATATCCTATCAGCATGGCCAGATATAGTGAACTAATGAATTTGCCTGTGGCCAAAAGGCTTGGGAGCTGCTTGGTAAGATGTGTTTTGTGAGGGATAAGCACCTTTCCTTTACATGGGCACCGTACCCTGGGCTTCCCTGTGTCGGCTGTGGGAATCTGCATCTGCCTGAGACCCCAGCGGAGACTGTAAATGTAATCCCACACAGAGGGAACTTTCCCTCCTCTTTGTTTACCAACAGTTAGTTATTCTACCTCCGGAGCCCTTTACCATCACATCCTCAGCAAACCTTCTAAACACTTGAGATGTAAAAAACAAGAGCTAGCTCTTTGCCTGTTGCTAGCAAGACTGACTTCTACATACACCCCCAGACTGAGTCACCACGGATTTAAAGCACTTCTGAAAAGGTACAATCCTCAAGCCTGGGAATGAGTTGAGGTGTCAGTCGTTAAAATTGTTTGTATTGGAAAAAACTAGGTTACTACGTTTCACTGTGAACAATGACATCTAATTACAAGTCACAGATTCACCGCAAATACTATTTAATAACAAATTTCTACCGCACTTCATCCACGCGCGTTATGAAGTAGCACACGGCCTC